CCAGGGTTTGGGTGGAATAAAGCTTAGAAGACACAGCTTAGAAGATAATAAATTCCAGATGGATGTTTTTAAAAATTAAGGTGAAATATAAAACTATAAAAGTAATGATGATATATTTGGGTTGAAATCCAACATTTTTTCATTCATCTGCCTTGTATGAAGAAAGAGTACACAAGTGGATAGCTGGAAGCAAAAATTGAATAACATCTCTCCCCTGCTCAAAAACCTCCAAAGATTTCTCATCACACTTAGAAAAACAACCAAGTTCTTACCATGGCCCACAAAGCCCTGCATGACTAGTCCCTGAGTTCCTCTCCAGCCTCATTTCCTACCATTCCTGCTCACTCTGAGGGAGCCGAGCTCCAGCCACAATGGCCTCCCTGCTGTTCCTTACAGGAACAAACACTCTCCCACCTTAAGGCTTTGGCTTCTGTAATGTCCTCAGCACCCAATGTTCATCCCTATATCCTGTTGTGGTTAGAGCTCCCTAATTTCATTCAATTTCCTGCTAAGATGATACTGCCTCAGAGAAGCCTACCCTGCCATCAAATGTAAAATAGCACACCCTTTTTCTTCCTTTATCCTTTTTATAAAATCACTTATCACTACTTGACTTTATATTATGTATTTACTGTTTTTATGTTTCTCTCCAGAGCTCTCCAGAATGCAAGCTTGAGAGAAGTAAGAACTTTGGATTTTTTTTACCACTAAATTCCAAATGCCTGAGACAGTGACTGGCATATAGCTCCCACCAAAATATACGCTGAATGAATGAATAAACAAATTAATGAAATGAACTTGTCATTACAGGAACTGATTTTAGTGATTCTTAAACTGCATCATGCTTTAATCAAAAGAACTGCAACTAACCAAATAAAACCTTAAATATTCATGTAGTAGTTACTGTTTGAGGTGCTTACAAACTTTAGAAGACGTTGTTTAACAAGCATAAACCCATGTTATTAGGGTTTCCGGGTAATATTCTCTTCGCAAAATGGATCATGTGTTCCAAGGTGATATATCATGGGTGATGCAACATGTCTGTGTTTCCACATTGCAGGTCAGTCCCTGAGGGATCAATTTGGTAAACATGAAAAGAAAGAGTTTTCTCTAGAGGGGGCAGTATTTACAGAAACAACCACAAGAAAATGTTAAAGGACATAACCTCTAATCTTAGATCTGCTACTTGTACATTCTTCTCTGGTAATTCAAATATCAATATTCTATTTAAATATTTATATCACATGCATACTCACTCAAGTATTTAGTGAAGATGAAATGTCATAAAACTACTTTGCGAAGGTTTGAAATATATGATAATTGGACGCTTTGAGTCAATTGAGCATCTTTGTAGCAAAATCATAAAAGCAAACATCAGTCCATGTGTGCAATGGGCCAATGTGACTTCTGCCCATAAGGAAAGATCCTAAGTACCACTGATCCTTGCTTCTCACAGCAGGAGTCCAAGGCACTATGCTCCAGTAGAAATAAAATGCAAGCCACATCTGTAATTTTAAATTTCCTAGTAGCCACGTTTTAAAAAGTAAAAAGAAACTGGTGAAAGTCATTTAAAAATATTATTGAAATATTTAATAGTATTTTATTTAATCTGATGTATCCAAAATTTTATTTCAGCATAAAAATAATCAATGAGATATTTTACCCTTTTTTGTACTAAATATTATAAAACGTGTATTTATTATACACTTATAGCACATCTCAATTCAGATGCTAAATTTTAATAACTATAGTGAAATACAGTCCTGCCAAAACAGTAAAGTTTTGCTTAATGAAGAAATATTTTGCACCGCTTCAGTTATTAAATATAAATTTAAACTACTTAAAATAAAATGAAATTAAAAATTCAGTTCCTCAGTTGCAGTAATTGCATGCATTTCAAGTGCTTGATAGCCTCCTAGCTAGGGGATACCGTGTTGGATAGCTGTGAGTTCATTAGAAATGCAGTATTGAGGAGTGGGGAACCTGCAGCCTTAAGGACACATGTGGCCTTTCAGATCCCCAAGTGCGGCCCCTCGACTGAATCCAGACTTCACAGAACAAATCCCTTTATTCTGTAAAATTTGGATTCAGTCAAAAGGCTGCACTCAAGGATCCGGAAGGCCACATGTTGATTTCCACTTGAATGGTATGCACATTAAAATTTGAGAAGCACTGTTAGACTTCTTTAATTGTTTGTAACCTTATCATTATTGATACTACCGTAGTTCAGGCTTTATTGCCTTTAGCTGCACTATTACAAGTATCTCTTAAGTGGTTTTTCACCTCTAATCCCCAATTAGTCTTCTGGAAACACTGCTCCAAGAGTATAAATGGTTTCCTGAATGCTTACTGAATAAGGTCCAAACTATTTGCCTTGGTCTACAAGGTCTATACAACATGGCCATGAGCATGTCTTGACCTGACTTATTTCATTCACTTATCACCTCCAGTAATAGGAGCATGTTGAGATATTCATTCTTCCTTCCACTGAACACTTACCATGTGCTATGTGATAGGTAAACGGACATGGATAAAATCAGGTTCCTGCTCTAAATTAACTGATAATTAGGCTACAAGGGATAGGGGAAAGGAGCATATAAACAACTAATTATAATATGGAATTATCTTCAAAGTGCAACAGGCAAAGGGAGGAAGGAATGATGAATTCTTAATGACTGAGGAGTGGGAAGGAGGTGGGAAAGGTTTCAGAGAAGAGGGAAGATTTGAGAACTTAGAGAATGTATGGAATTTTGCCAAACAGCAAAAGGCAGGGAAGAGCATTCCAGACTAAGAAAACAACATCATAGATGCAGAGAGTCTGAAATGATATGGTGTATCTTGGGAAAAGTACGTCATTCATTCAGGGTAAAAAGAAGCGGAAAAGGCATGGCGTAAGGCATTGGCAGGCTGCTTTGTGTTTATTATCCACTTACTTCTACCCAGTGTGGTCCCAAAGAAAGAATATCTGAGGCAGTTAGTAGGAAATGAAGCTAAAAACATAAAATACATTTCGGATTACTCCCTTTTACACATGCTTTGCAGAATCAAACCACACTATGTATCAAGCCCTTTAAATTCCCTATGAGTGTACCTTCCCCATGAGCGTGTTAGGTTTTATCGTGAAATATATCAGACATAACAAAAAGTATACAAAACAATTTAAAGGATAACATCCATGAAGCCACCACTAACTATCTTAGCCTTAGATATCCCATTTGTTTCCTTTCCAGATCAAATTCCTTTTCCTCCTCACCCCCAAATAATCAGAATCCTGAATTTTGTATTAATCATCCATTGCTTCCCTTTATAGTTTCACCACTTTTGCAAGTTGATGTACACTTGGTTTTAGACATTAATAAATAAAGCAAGCATGTGCATTCTTCTATACTTGCTTCTTTTGCTCAATTTATGCTTTTGAGATTCATCCGTATTAATGAGTTGAGCTGTAGTTCATTCATTTTTACTGCTGTAAAATGTTCCTCTGTACTGAATATACCGCAACATACTTCTCTCTTCTTCTGTTGGTGAACAATTGTAAGAAATGATATCAAGAATATTCTGGTACATGTCCTAGTAAACATTTTCAAGAGTTTCTCTAGGATATATCTGTTGGTAGGGATGTTATTAAAAATATTTAATGACCTATATGGCTTGGGTGCTGACCAATGAGGACAGAAGTTGACCATAAACCACTGGTAAGGCTAAATGTCAATTTCAACCTTGACTAGTAGTGGAACTGCAAAGACACAGGAGAAAGGCATGTTTCCTAACAGAAGCAAATGAATGTAGTATACCCTTCAAGGGAAGTTTATGTGAATTCCTAAAGTTCCATATCCTCACCAAATGTTCTAAAATAAATAAAACATGGATAATGTTCTTTATAGAAAGTGAAGAAGAGGGAAAGGGCATAAAATGATTAAAAATTAGCAGAAATCCTATAAATCAGAAAAATTAATATACATTCATAATCTTTGAAAAGAGGAGGATAGAATGTAGATATATTGTGTACATGACAAAATTTGGTATTAACTAAAGGACTAAAACATGAAGCAACTTCCAAAATTGGACCTTAACACTGCTACCAAGATGACTTGTGTGCACTTAAGTCATCCATATGCTCAACATGAAAAATGAAAATTTAACCTAAAACAAACTAAGGGCACTCTTGGAAGGCTGAGTTCGTAATTTATAGGTTTTGTGTTTTAAATTCAAAAATTGCACTGTCCGAACGCTAGAAACTTATGCTATGGACAACTATGGCTGAAAGATAAAATACAGGATACCGAGTTAGATATGAATTTCAGATAGACAAGAAATAAATTTTTAAAGTAATTATGTCCCATGCAACTTTTTATGCTAAAAAATCATTATCTGAAACTCAAATTAAAGTGGGCAACCTTTATTTTTGTTTGCTAAATTGGCACTCCTATGGACCACGATGAATTAAAACCTTGGCGTGTTTCAACAGGGTCCATTTAAGGACGTTCAGGCGCTGGACCAGTGCTCTCAATGGTCAGTTATGTCTCTCTCCATCATCCCGCCCCTTTTGAGGAAAAGTAAAAAATACTTGAGGAAGCTTTGAAGTGTGGCCCCAAAATAAAACCTAGACCACGAAAGAAGGATGTTGGCTGGGTAACAGCAGTTATGGGAGTCAGACATACACACATTTCTGGAAAGAAGGAAGACCAGGGCGGGGATGAGGGTCACAGATGGGTCCCTTCACTTTTTCAGGGCAAAGGCGCCGCGGGGGCCGCGCGGGCCAGACCAGTTGGCACGTGGCACGGCTGCCCCAGAGACCAGGGCGCCCGTTACAGGGTAACCGCCGGCGGGACAGGGTGTGGGACACTACCAATGCAGGGCACCGCCACGGGTGTCCTCATAGGAGAGCAGGCGACCGCCAGGTTCCCACGTCGCCCCCTACTGTACTCTCCGACCCCGCCACTCCTGTATTCCTGGAGCCCCGAAGGCAGGAAAGAAGGCAGAAGTCACCCGCTGCTTACTGGTTTGAATCAACTTGGAGATGCAGAAGCAGGAGAAGCTGAAGAGCACGGCGGCGACGAAGGCGATCAGCAAGTTCACGTGCTTGGTCCTCATGGCGCTGGCCGGGCGGCGGGCGGCGGGCGGCGGGCAGCGCGGAGCGGGTGACGCGGAGGCTGCGCGCGTGGAGGCCGCGCTCCCGCACGCGCGCCTCTGCGCCCCCTGTCGCTTGCGTCCCTAGCACACCTGCCGTGGGAGCTCCCTTGCCCAGACCTTCTGAGCCCTTTACTTCCCGTCCTGCAGTCCGATACACACTACGGGAATGCGCCCCACTGCTTGGCGCTTGGTGGGTGCTCAATAACTGTTACTTTATTTTCCTGTAGCAGTTTACTAATTATACTTTTACCTTAGGCTGGGGAACACGAGGAGAAGAACATCGGTAGGATGAGACTGTCCTTGGGCTCCCGGATCCGTCATTTTCTATTTGAGTTCTTCACTCTGATCTCGCCTCTTATTTGGGACTCACTGGCAGTGTCTGCTTATAAGCCTTCTTCTTTAACCTGCTCTGCATCACAGGCTGGGCTACGTTCTGGCCCCTTGAGAGAGGAGAAAGATTTGAACACATGCCGGCCTGAAGATGCCATGATAAGCCTTTATTTTCTCTTGCGCTAATGGCCAGGTCCCAAAAGAGGGAGCCGGGAGAAATAAATACTTGACCTTTATTGTCCTTCATTCATTCTTTCCATCTGTTGTTGGTGCTTGCCATTGGCTACGCTCTACTGGCAGCCAGAAGGCAAGGAAGTTCAGTTTGATGTGCTAGATCATACAAACCTGCCTCCTTGGGTGTGGAACAGATTGGAGAAAGACGTAGAGTAGATGGGGGTGGGAGAAGGAAGCTATCCAGCATCAAGAGATATTTCCAAAATCAGAATTTCATTGTCCTCTTACCTGAGGTCCAGGTTCACATTTTCAGCTGTTTTCGCAGCCCTTCTGCTTGGATGTCCCACGTCACAGTAAAGATGTCTAATCTTCTCACCAAGCTAGCTGTCTTCCCAGCGTCCCTTGATTTTATCAATGGCAGTGTAATTCTCCTTATGATCAGTTTGACTCACTTTCATTACATCCCATCATTTATAAGATCTTTACAGTCCTTCTTTGAAGTGTCTCATTTTCAGACTTGCATTTCTGTTGCTATCTATTACCCAGATTGTCACAGTGATATTGAGACTGGTCTCACTGTCTGTAGGATCTACCCTCTGCAATCCATGCTTCATTCCAAAACCAGATACTCTTTGTAGCTCAGCCCTGTCAGCTGTCACTCTTGTTTGAGCAGCTCTACTCCTCCTGAATGAGAAAGATCCAACTCTGTCAGGCATGTCACTGCTTTCTCATTATCTCCCAATGCTCCCTTACTTGCCTCTGGGACCTGCCAGACTCTTTTTTTTTTTTTATTCTACTCTGAACATGTCATGTTCACTTCTCTCTTTCTGTGCCTTTTCTCATGATGTCTATCCTTTGCTCACAATGTTCAGCGTCCTCTCTGACCATTCAAATCTTTTCCACATCTCAAGGTCTCATTTTTTATCTGTTTCATGAACCAAAACCTGACCACAGCAGACCACTCTGATTTTCTCTTCTCTGAACTCCTTTAGTATGTAGGGTCTCTACCTTTCATACATATCCCTATGCCCTTGGGAATAGGAACCTCCAAAATGATGCTAAATTACATTCATGGTTAAGGGAGAAGCACATTCAAAGCAGATTGAATTATTGGTAGTTGTCCTAAGAGATGTACTTACACATGTTAGCCTCACTGGTTAAGGAGGTCTAGGAAAGGATATTTGTGCATAGATGGCTGGGGGTCCTTTGCAGTGTGTGATAGACAAGCTCTGGGGAGAAAAGACCTGGCTGTGGGCGGAAGCTGGACAGCTTGTTTCTACAAGGGAGCATGGGAAACAGAGGAGGAAAAGCTGCGTAAGAACTAATCCCCCCAAGAAATTTTCAATTGGGAGGAATAAGTTCTGGGAATCTCTTGCATAGTATGGTGACTATAGTTAATAATAATGTATTGTAGATTTCAAAATTGCTGAAAGAGTGGATTGTAAATGTTCTCACCACAAAGAAATGGTAAGTATGTGAGATGATACACATGTTAATTCTCCTGATTTGATCATTCCACAAAGTGTACATTATTGAAAATTCACGTTGTACTCCATACATATATGCAATTACTATTGTCACTTTTAAAAAGAGAACTAATCTCCTCAAATAAACAAATTATTGAAACAAGCCTGCATAAATAAACCTGTGAATAGGGTCAATGCAAACAATGAGAACCAAACAAAATTTTGGTAGGTTTAACTATCTTGATAGTTTACAAGGCCACTACTGTATATGTAAAGAAAAACCTCAGTGTAAATAGATCTAATTGGACAAATATGTGTGCCTGAAAGAAAGAAAATTTTGGGATTTTTCCACTGATAAGATGAAGAAAATTTAATAACCAAGAACTTCTAGTTATTATATCTTTGTAAATTGAGCTCTAATCATTTCTGAGTATCAATAGATTTTCATTGGTATCAGAGGTGGAAAACCAAGAGACCCAATGGAAAAACAGCTAGTGTTTTAATTTATCCACATAGTCCATCTCTATTGGAAAACCCAAAGAGACCATGATGCTAAGCACAAAAGAATGACTAATTTACTCAAACCACTGAGACTTTATCTGACAAACTCCTTGAATGCTGAGACACTTTGTAACTGTATCAACACTTTTAGATCCAAAGGAGAAAAGGCAAAATTACTGCTTTTTTAAAATTTCTGTACATTTTGGCATTTTAACATAAACTATGTGTCATTATAAATCAAATCTTTGTAACTAATCCAAGTCATGAGTGCAAATAATCATGTTTTCTTCATATTCAGTTTATTTGCTTCATAACTTTGATTTAAACATATTAGCAACGAATTAGTTAATACCTGCTCCAGGAACAAACTCCTAAACCTCCATGGCTTAATAGAATAGAGGTTCTTCCTTCCTCAAGTAATGTCTAATGCCAGGGCTTCCAACTGATTGGCAGCTTTCCACATGATCAGTAAGAGGACCAGGTGCCTCAGTTATGTGGCTTGCCTCTCCTCTAGCAATTTGGAATTCTCTCCATTCCACTAGAGGATTGGGGAAAAGCATTCTATTGGTGAGAACTAGATGCAAAAGAACCGGGATGTGTAGTTCCTGGCTTGGCAGCTGCTTCCCATTCCTGCCATGGAATATCACCGACCTTCAGTGGTCAGCTATCCTTCTCTGCCAGGGCAACGGAACTGAAATCAAAGACTTCATGGAGGCAGTGGCATTTCAGCTGACTCCTGAATACTTTTAATAGGCAGGAATATGAGTGTGCATGAGGTGCAGTCCATGTTTGTGCATAAAGAAAAAGCCGAAGCCAAGAACCAGCAGGTGGATATTTGTATCCCCAGCACCTCATCCTGTGACTGGCACAGAGTAGATGATCAGTAAATATCATGTGTCCTGAATCATAGATGAACCATTGACTGAGTAGCAGGTTTTTGGTTTTTTGGTTTGTTTTTTAAAAAAAAAAAAGAAGAAGAAGAAATATTATGTTGAATGTAAACATTGATCAGAAGACACATTCTGATTTCAAAAACATTAAAATATGAGAGCAAAGTGCTTTTCTGAATTTTGAAACCCAGAAAAATAAGCATAGCCCGTAAATTACAACCCAACAACAGCACCCACTATGCTGCCATTCAGGCCAGGGCTCAGGGATCCTGTGTCACAGTTTTTCTCCAGATTACCCAGACAGAGTTTTCAGGCCAGATGTGTAAATCGGCTTCAACCCAATTTGGGAGGAGAACAGTCTGAGGGTTTATTCCATTATCAACCATGATGTGACTTTACATATAAGAGTCATAGCTATAAGTATTATTCTCTCACCCCAAGACACTCTAGGGAGATCACATGGATAGTACTTTCTTCAGTGTCATCATTCATTTGTTCTCCTGTTTTCCTGCTTTTAATATTTCACCTCTTTTCCATTCATCACCTGTCAGAACACAGATCTGGTCTCCCAGGCAGAGGCCTCTGGTTCAGTCATACTGTCAACCCACAAAGAAGGCAGCAATAGGAAACTTGCCAGGGCCTTCCCTTTTGTCCATCCTCAGGAGGAAGCGGTAGGGTGCCTAGGTCAAGTACAATAGAGCTATATCCCCATGACATCGGGTGAGTGGGGGACACGAGTGGACTATGATCAATCCTACTTTGGCCATGTGATATGAATTCACACATAGGGGTTTCTGGAAAAATATGTACATATATAATATGTTCAAAGGAACAGAAGGTATGTCTTGGGCAGCAATTTTTCCTTCCACTAGATGACTTAAATGCAATATTGATCCCTCAAACCAGATCCAATAAAATAAAAGTTTGTACAGTGGGAAAGAGAGAGAGAAAGTTCTCTCAGAGCACCATCCTCTACCTCTTCGTTCCCCCCTCCAGCACCCAAAAACCTTTGAAACCTTTACCCCTCATATTTGGACAAAGCACATACCACCTAATTGAGCCAGCCAGCCCTTCGTATCCTTATACTGTATTTTCAGTGACAAATGTTTCAGTGACCTGTTCTGGTATCAGTTTGACGACCACTCCATAGGTGGAATACAATCTGTCCCACATCATGTTGGGATTCTTTTCGGTGAAGCGGCTAGTTCCACACATTGGCCACATTGAATATATTCTTTGGTCCACTAAGATGTATAATAGGGAACCAAATTGTTACATAATTCATTGTTCCAAGTCCTTGATAGTGTCTGTGGCTTTGGCTTTAGCCCAAGATGAAATAAACATTAAACTTATGTGGATTCTCTGGGGGCTACAAATATAACAGTAATCCTATATAGTTCGCTGGCCCATATGCTCAGGCTTCTGAGCTCAGGAGATTTTTTTTCCAATGGCAACTTTAAATGGCTACTTTTTAGGTTAGCATTCATTTGTCTCTTACTGCATTAGTGGCTTAGGTAAGGGACAAGTGGAATTATACCATTATTCTACCCATTATTGCATGGCTTTGGCACCACCGTGCCTACTTAAATTACCCAGATGGCAGGCCCTCAGCTTAGCATTTTATTCACCTTTCGAACCAACTTAATTCTTACTGTGGGCATCTATTTGATCCACTATCGTCCTCCCTTGGGAATCGCATAAGGCCTTCCACAATTGCATCTCCTGCACTGGGGGTATTCTTAATGTTAACTGGTCAAGATTCTCAGATTCCTGACAACATAGCTAGACCATTGGTTACTGTCTATGAGTCTGTAAATATCCAAACATTGACCTGAAGTAAAGAACTAAGTTCTTCCTCCACTGTGATGTACACTGCTCTCAACTCAGCCCATCACATGAACTTACCTTTGCATTATTTGACCGGGTTTTTCTGTTTGTAAGACAAACAACAACAGACTTTTATGTTGGCATTCCCACTATCCAGGAACTCTCATGAATACACCAAAAAAACTTGTTCTATTTTAATGGAAAGAGAGTCACGAAGGTTTAGATTATTTAGCAACAGAAGGAGACTGCTAATTAGTTAGTCCTAAGGCAAAGATGCTACCTGCTCCTGTATGTGTTGTAACTTCCCCAGAGATATCTCTCATGACATGAATTCTTTTATTTGAGAATTTTGTTCTGAAGCTTCCTCTTTATTACAACCTCTTTCTGATATCACCTGTGATATAATAGGTAGCTCAGATCTCAGCATATTTTCATACTCTTGAATTGTGGGCACTGTTTTCACTAGAGCCCAGTAGTATGCTGCCAAACTGGCTCTCTAGTGCCGTTATCAGGAACTTTTTGAGTCCAAAAATCTGAGTCATCGCCAGAAGGTGGCAGTATTACATTTAAGTCAAAGCCTCTAATTTGCATGCATTGTATTCTAGTATCAGAAATTTCTAAAATCATGTGTGAATGTGCTAGAATCCTATGGTCCCAGTAGCATACTTGGGCCACTGCCTATTATATATTTTTTAGAGTTTGTCAAATAGCCCCTCAAAATGTGTCTCCTTTTTATTGGCAGCACCCTGGAGGGAGAGTAATTTATTTCCTGTTTGTAGAATACCTCCCCAAAGTTATTTTTAGAAATTTCACTGATTGGCCTAGGTTCTGAATCTCAGCCAGATTTATTAACCATTCTGTTAGTTGTGTGTGCCACTACAGCTCTCAAATCTGAGTTTCTCCCTCCAAGGGGGAAATCATCACAGTAGCATCAATATAATGAATTAACTCAATTTTGATGGTGATCATGTCTAAATCTAATCTTATGAATCTGTGGCAATAAGTTGGAGCAGTTGGGATATCCCAAGGACTATTTAGTAGTCCGATTAATTTCTTTCTATTTTTAGTAGAGACGGGGTCTCGCTCTTGCTCAGGCTGGTCTTGAACTCCTGAGCTCAAACAATCCGCCCGCCTCGGCCTCCCAGAGAGCTAGGATTACAGGCGTGAGCCACTGCGCCCGGCCCATTGTTTCTTAATGAAAGATGAGCTTTCCTGTGTCCTTCCAGAATCTGACATTGCCTGGTATTTACTATAAGGAAGGGTTTTTGTAAGTCTCGGGGCTTCCATTTTGCATGCCTAATTAAAACTAGTGAAAGGCAGACTTCTCTTTTAAAGACATTTTGACTTTAAGCTGGTAATGACAAGGGCCTTCATCACATCCATTCTAACTGTGTATTCAAGTAAAAGCCAAAACGGAATATATTTTTTTTTCTTTCTTATTTCTCCATCTGCAGCTTTATACTGATGCTGGTGCTATCTACTGTAACATCTATATATACTCTAAACTTCAATTTTCGATTTTCTTATTATTGCCTTTTCATTCACCTGCTGGTATTATGGTACATTTTACATCATCATTATGGTATATTCAATAATCCCAAAGAAGTTCTCCATTATTTTCTGCCTCTTGACATGAACTATATTATACAAACTTGGACCCCCGACCAGGGGTCAAATGAGGATTTCTTCTCCCTCAAGCTATTCATCCTTTTTTCTTTACAACCTTAATAAATGAATTAAAATCATTACCCTGTGCGAAACGCACTTTATTTTCCTATTTTCTTTCAGCATTGTTGGATTTAAACTCATCCAGCCTAAAGTAACTGGAACTGATCTGATATGAGAACTTAGGAGAGGGGGATGCAGGAGCTAAAGTAGGGATCCCTCCTCTCAACTGCTGTTAATGTGCTGCTAGATCCTTTGTAGGGATCCAGTCAATTTCCTTCTCCATTCCCCCTCCCCCTGCCTTTTTAAAAACAATCATATAAATCATTACTACCCAATTCAATGTTTACCTCCTTGTTCTGGTTACTATCTTTACCCCTGCCCATTAGCTTTCTTCTGAATAGCTTTAACTTTCTTTTCCTTGATAAAGCCCATTACCAGTAATGGTGAGAACAAACTTGCCTTGGCTTTCTGTGTATTTCCTTGTTCTCTCATTAAAAGAATCATACGGGAAACTCATGCACGAGGGATTCCCCATAATCACAGTGTCTATCATAGTTTGGGGCAGAGGCATGTTATTTACAGAAGCACAACACTAGTCATCATAAAACCAATCAGGATTGTCACTGCTTTTACTATTTTTAATGTTTGCAGAGGGGTAATCCATTTCACCATGAACAAAATAAGCATACAGTTTTCCTTCTCAGTATAAATTTGTTGCATTTCAACTTCACACACTCCAAAGGTGCATCGATAGTTAGAATAATTTGTGTCCTCTGTGGATCAAATACTGAACACTGCAGCAAGCTGTTCATTAGTAGTTATAACTGACAACTCTTTCCATTAATCAGTTTCTAAAATCAACAGTTCCATCGTAGTTTAGTCTGAGAATCCAAGAAAGCAGAGATTCCTCAGTACTACTCAAAAATATAACCAAACTCCATTCCACTGTAGCCTTTGGTTTCCATGTAGGTGTATCTGATAAGGCCAGGTAGAAGTACACTGGTTAGTTGAGAGACCTAGAGATCTAGGTCCCTCCTTCTCCATGAAGCCAGAATCCTAATCTTAGGATGTAACCACCATTTAGCTAGCCATATGGAAGAAGAAACCCAAAGAGAATAAGACAGAAAGACAGATGGCCAGTCTTTCCTGAGGAACACAATTGGTTTAATATATCTACCAGTTACATGCAAATGAATTAGTGGTAAAGAAAAAAGGCAATTGGTACGTATAGGCTATTTTAATGCACAGTGACCCTTCCAATAAATGCTTCCAATAAATGAAGTTCAACCAATTTCTCAAGTTCTGACAAAACAGATTAGCATTCTCTTCTCTTGGGGAAAAACATGGATAGAAGCAGGCCAACAGGCAGCATGGACACAAGGAGGAGAGTGTTCCTCTCTGCACTACCTACAATCAGTATAGAACTTTGAAAAGGCAAAAAGATTACATACAGAATTATCTTACTTTCTATTATATAAAAGCCTTGCGTAATAATGGAGAGACTCCTGAAATGGAACTTAGTTTCTAAGTCTTAATCTGCCAAATTGGCTGTGCACTTTGCCTTTCTGAATCTTTAGTCTACAATTTGAAAAATTAAATTGGATGATTTCTAAGTTCCCTTCAAGATTTAAGATTCTATGATTTTATTATTGTAGCATATATCTGGACTTCATTACCAAGTTCAAGCTGGTTGCCTCCCTACTGGGGAGGAACGATGACTCATGCACCCTGCACATGTCTAGTATTGTACAATTAGTCCATTTAAAAAATGCTGGTTGAGAAGTGGGAAAGTGTGTATTGCTTCCTTCAATTCGTGTTAACAAGGAGATGGTGGAAATATACATATATACACTTGCCTAGAATATTTCTGAAAGTATAAACAAGAAACTAACACTTGTTGCTTCTGAGCAATAGGACTGAGGGACCAGGAGTCTTTGGTAGGTGGAGAGAAGTAATTTTTAAGTGTCAGTTGTCCTTTGTACTTCTATTCTCTGCCCTACTCTTTCTCCTCCAGCCACACTGGCTTTTTTGCTATTCCTCCAACATTTCCAATATGCTCCCAATTCAAGGCCTTTGCACTTGCTATACTGGCGCCTGGAATACTTTTCCTCCAGATACTCTCATGGTACAGTCTCTTCCTTCATTGAGTAAGGCTCAAATGTCACCTTATTACTAGGGCTTCCTTAACTTCACGTTACGTAATGACTTCCCACACACACTCCCTGATATCCTTAATACTTAGCACCACCTGACATACTAAATATTTGCCTGTTCAGTGTGTAATTCCTTTTTGGAACACTGCTAGGTGCATAACAGGCAATCAACAAATACTTGTTGAATTAATGAATGTGCTGTTGTAGGTTTTTAAAAAATCATATGCAAAAATTACTTTTTCAATAAAAAACAGTTAAATAAATGCTGGATGAATTAACTGTTAGAAGTTTATTATAGGATAAAGTCCAAACGTCTTTTCTCGATATATAGGGCTCTCCTAATCTGCCACGTATTAGCCATAGGCAAGTAGATCAACCTAAATTTCTTTTCCTCATCCATAAAGTGGGTCTATTAATAACTACTTCACAGAATTACGATTCACTGTAGGAGAAAGCGTTTTTGTAACCTTTGCTCTATAAATGTTACTAAAAGCACACGGTTTCTGCCATGCTTGAAGACTAGGAGTAGTACACGGTGCCAACTTGTGCAAACGACCTGAGATTTAACGAAACGTCTCCAGAACCGTGCTAGAAGTCTCCACGCTTGCACTGGACGTGCCTCCCGGCCGCCGTTGCCAGGGAAACCGTCCTGGCGTTTCTAGAATGGGAGCCCGCGCCGGGGCAACACAGCGGGACCTCCCTTCACCATTAGCAATAGGTGGAGCGCGGGCCAATCGGAAGAGGCTAGAGGGGCGGGGGCGGGGGCGGGCAGTGTCCGAGGAAGGCGGTCCCGCGGCCTCGCTCCCTGACTTCCGGGTCGCGGTGCTTGCAGGGAGGGCTCTGCGAGTAGCGTCGTTTCCGTTGCCGGCTCTTTGCAGTTGGGGAAACCGAGGCAGCTCCTGCTCCCCCTAGTTCTTCCGCTCCTGTGAGGTGGATGCTGTTTCTTTTCCTCTTGCCCTGCGCTGCTTCGGTGCGGCTGCGCTGAGAGTGCTCCGGCTGCGCGAGCCCCGCGGTGTTCTGCGGGGAATCTGCGGGGCGCCTGGGGCGGCCGGGCTTTGTGCAAGCCTTTCACTCCCACTCGCGGGCAGCGCGCGAGGGGGGCTCGGTGCAGCGGCTCCCCGAGGTCTCGGGCGCTCAGACGCCGCGAGGCTTGCGTTCTCTCCGCTTGGCAGTTCTGTTTCTTTTGTCCTGATGAGCGCGGATTAGGCGGATTCATTTTAAAGATACAGATCTGCCCAGCTATGTTACGTGCACTGTTTCTGCACTGACCTGCGGGGATTTCCAATCTGACAGCCCCTCAGGCCCAAGTCCAGAGATGACGTGTCTGTGGGAATGTTTAAGGCAGGAAGGATGAGCGTTTTTGTTTAAGTATCTTCCCGTCACTTGCATCTCCCTCTCCCCTTCATTAAGAAGCTGAAGATTTTTCTTATGACCTAAGATCCAGTTTATCGAGTGTGTAGTTTTTTTTTTTTTCAAACTCCTATTGCATTTCTACCCTTCACCTATTGAACGGAAAATCAAGAGTTAGCTAGGGAATGATATACTCCGTGTTAACTTGTATACTACAATTTGTAAGCCATATGTAGTGTTTGTATTTGCTGGCATCACCTTACTGGAACAGCTGTAACAACTTATCCACAAGGGTTAAGAAGAGCTTAGTCCTGAAAAAACAAATCTGATGTTTGGTGTATTTTAATTGTTGCTTTGTTGGGGTCCTCTTGTTCTTGAACTGTAGAACCCCAGTTTTCAAAGAATGAGAAATTAAAATAGGAAACAAAGATACGAAATGCAACTTTTAGCAAAAAAGTGCAGACCATTCTGTCATTCTTTCAGGCCATTAAATAGCTTGACTAAGTAAGTTATGATTTTACAGTTTTCAAAAAAGTGATAAATTGACCATTTGGCCGGCCATCAATTTATCTAAATGGTATATATTACACCTATTATTGTTTTTGTAGATGTCTAAACACTATCACAGAACAGACAATGGAATAATAGATTTTAATATCATTTGAAGTTTTATCAGATGGATAAACTGATATTTTTAAGTTTAAAATTCAATTTAAAGTCACTAAGCTTGTCTTCTATATTTCCTCTTCCAGGAAAAATGTTTATTTCTTTGTGGGAGTTCTTCTATGGGCACTTTTTTCGATTTTGGATGAAATGGCTCTTACGACACATGACTGGAAAGTGTGAATTGCAGCGAATTTTTGATACCTATGTAGGTGCACAGAGGACACACAGGATAGGTAATGTAATTCAGAAAAGAAAAATTGGCAATTAATAAAAATTTAACTCTGAATATTTTTTCTCAGTAGTCACAATGACAGATGTACTCCTTGTATATCCTGATTAAGTCATTTAAACCGAGTCTCACTTTGAATCCTTCCAGCTCTAAAATTGTATGACTTTATAGAAAAAGAAAGTGATTATTTCATTCTTTATGTGTGTGAAGAATTATCTTCTCTGGCTGCTTAAATTTATAAGTTGTTCCTTAGAGTATAGTTGGAACTTATTTTATAGAGAAAAATTTCTATATTTATATAAACCCGTTGAAATTTTCACTCAAAGGGATGGGAAGAATAAGTGCCTTGATCTAGATCCATTTTTATACTTAGCATCCTTCATCGATCTTTTAATTTCATGTTTCATTTCTTTATGAAAGGACAGTAATTAACCAATGGTCCCTAGGAAAGATTATTACACTCAAAATCCTCACTGTCCAATACTGTTGCCAGTAGCCACGTATATTGAACACTTGAAATGTTGCTAGTCTGAATTGAAACGTGCGATAAGTGTAAGTGTGATATACCACTGGATTTCAAAGACTATAAGAAAAAAGAATGTAAAAATGTCTCATTGTTTACATCCATTGTATGTTGAAATGATAATATTTTGGATATGTTGGGTTTAAATATATTAAAATTAATTTTATCTGTTTCTTTTTACTCTAACGTGGCTATAGACGATTTTAAAGTACACATGTGGCTCACATTTTGGCTTGTATTATATTTCTGTTGAACAATGCTGCTCTATTACCCTCTAAAATACACCAGTTTTTCAATGCTTAATTGAAAATATTGCTCTAGATTAGAACACAGATGAATAAGAAATGTGGTGTGAAGTTACTTCTTTTCAGACAGGATAGGGAAGGCCAGGGAACTGCTATAGCTCACGCTCACTGTGTTAAATGGAAACTAGTGAATTAACCAGGTCTCCTTTTGTGTTGATCAAATGTACTTCTACTAGGAAACCAACCCCTCTGTAAGTTTGGGGGAGTGGGGTGTTGGCAATTGGAACAAGTATCCAAGACAACATTGGAAGAATGACAGACAGAAGCTGCCTCAGGGCGGCGAAATGATTAAGTTTAATTACTTTCCTAGTTTTCTTACAACTTCATGGCCGACTTAAATTGTTGCCTGCCCTTTTGATTTGCTCCTTTGTACTCAGAACAAAGTACATCTTGATAAGAATCTCTGCAGGCTGTATGAGTTGGTGTTTTGTAGTGTAGGAGAAGAACATATGTTGAGGCTTTACTTTGTGGCAAAAGCATTTTTCTTGAATTTTTCAAATTGCTGAGAAAAAGGAGACTATTAGTAAATGTGTCAGAAAAAAATGTTAAACTAGACCAAGAAAAATGTTCCTGTGGTTCTTGAAACAGAAACCAAGAATGGAAAAGCTATGTTGCTGTTTGTCTGTTTAAAGGATAGTTAGCCAGATAATCTAAAGTCTTTGCCCCTTTGTTTTGTAATTCAGTTGCTATCACGTCAAATCTAAACATTTACTCAGTAAGGCTAACAAATGAAGAAAATGTAGTAGAGAACACTCTCACAGTAGTCTTAAAATGAGTTTGGGGGGCCTGGGCTATTCTGAGGCAGGGACAGATGAATTTGAGGTGGTTAGTAGACACTTTGGGGGTCTGCACAGAAACAGATGACCCCAGGTAATGAGGTTGGTGTCACCTCTTTGGCTTGTTTTTTTATTATTATTATTTCAGAGTATTATTGGGGTACAAACGCTTTGGTTACATAAATTGCCTTTGTACCACACGAGTCAGAGCCAAGCATGCCCATCCCCCAGACAGTGCACACCACACCCATTAGGTGTGAATTTACCCATTCCCTTCTCCCCGTCCCTCCCCACCTCCCATCTGCCCAACACCCAATGAATGTTACTTCCCATAAGTGCACATTAGTGTTGATCAGTTAATACCAGTTTAATGGTGAGTACATGCGGTACTTGTTTTTCCATTCTTGTGTTACTTCACTTAGAAGAATGGGCTCCAGCTCCATCCAGAATAATACAATAGGTAGTTCACCATTTTTTTATGACTGAGTAGTACTCCATGGTATACATATACCACATTTTATTAATCCACTCACGGATTGATAAGCACTTGGGTTGTTTCCACATCTTTGCAATTGTGAATTGTGCTGCTATAAACATTCAAGTGCAGATGTCCTTTTTATAGAGTGTCTTTTTTTCCTTTGAGTAAATACCCAGTAGTGGGATTGCTGGATGAAATGGTAGTTCTACTTTTAGTTCTTTCAGATATCTCCATACTACTTTTCACAGAGGTTGTACTAGTTTGCAGTTCCATCAGCAGTGTATGAGTGTTCCTATCTCTCCACATCCATACCAACATTTGTTATTTGGGGACTTTTTGATAAAAAACCATTCTTGCTGGAATTAAGTGATATCTCATTGTGGTTTTGATTTGCATTTCCCTGATGATTAGAGATGTTAAGCGTTTTTTTATGTTCGTTAGCCATTACTCTATCTTCTTTTGAAAAGTTTCTGTTCATGTCCTTTGCCCACTTTTTAGTGGGGTTGTTTGATTTTTTCTTGCTAATTTTCCTGAATTCTATATAGATTCTAGTATCAACCTTTTATCGGATGTTTAGCATGCAAATATTTTCCCCCATTCTGTAGGTTGTCTATTTGCTCTAATGATAGTTTCCTTGGCTGTGCAAAAACTTTTTAATGTGCCATTATTTTAATGTCCCATTTATTTTCGTTGTTGCTGTGATTGCTTTCAGGGTCTTCCTCATAAATTCTTTCCCTAGGCTGATGTCTGTAAGAGTTTTTCCAACATTTTTTTCTAGAATTTTTATGCCTTAGGTTTAAGTCTGTTATCCATTGTGAGTTGATTTTTGTGAGTGGTGAGAGGTGCAGATCCTGTTTCAGTCTTCTCCATGTGGCTATTCAATTTTCCTAGCACCATGTATTGAATAGGGATTCTTTTCCCCAGTGCATGTTTTTGTCTGCTTTGTCAAACATCATTTTTCACAGATCTAGAAAAAATAATTCTATGCTTCGTATGGAACCAGACAAGAACCCGTGTAGCCAAAGCAATCTTAAGCAAAAAAAACAAATTGGGAGTCATCAATTTACCAGACTTCAAGCTATACTACAAGGCTATAGTAACCAAAACAGTATGGTACTGGCACAAGAACAGAGACATAGACCAATGTAACAGGACTGAGAAGCCATATATAAAACCATCCTCATATAGCCATGTGATCTTTGACTTATTTGGCTTGTTATGTTGTGTTTGGTTGAGGTCTTTGGAATCATATCTACTCCATACTGTGAGATTAAACTTTGAAATGTTTGCTATGTTATTCATGTAGAAATTATATCTCCTGTTACTGTTAAACTAATTTACTACTGGTTTGATACTTTTGCTATTTATTTATGAAGTAACTCACAAACAGCATGTAAGTGATAACATTTTTTTTTATTCCAGAAAATTCCTTGACATACTCCAAGAATAAGGTAGGATCATATCAATGTGATAATTCTAGAAAATCTAACTTGGACATACTTTTCCTTTAAAGGCATGTTTCAATTTTAGAATTATTTTTCGTGTCCTACTAGAAGAGTTTTGGCTATAAAGAGCATTGAGTGAAATTTTCCCCCTGTAGAAGTACTGTTCTGTTTTCAAAACATTTTCTCTGTGGGTGATTTTCATGCACAAAGAAGGTATTTGAATCATTAGTCCTGGGTGTTCTGAAGTTTTACTTATTTATTTTGCTTTAGGAGTTGATTGCTTTGGGGAAAGCCAGGTCTTAGGGTGAAAGCTTTCTCTTAGACTGTGTCTTCAGGATAGATTCTGTAAGAGAAAAACAAGTAACTTTGCATAGAGAAAACCGTGGGTCACGTTCCTTTTGAACCAAAATGAGTCATAACTCATGCTATATATTAGTGAGCTTTTGCTGTGTAACACATTATTATAAAATCTCAGGGGCATAAAACAATATGTTATTTCTTGCTTATGTGTCTGTTGGTCAGCTGGAAGTGCTCTTCTTCAAGCTGGTGCCAAGTTCAGGTCTCTACTCCATTTGTCTCATCTGGGATCCAGGTTTGTGGGGGTCGGGGAGTAGTGGGTAGCTGCTGAATGTTCTCACAGTGGATAACTGAAGGCCCAACCACACAGACATATTTTAAGTCTGTGTTGTCCTATTTATCAGCATCCCATTGATTAAAATAAGTTAAGTGGCCTAGCCTAAGTCAAGGGGTGGAGAAACTTGTTATACCCGCCATAAGGCCATGGTAGGCAGGTGGGTATATAATTCAATTACAGGGAAGTGAAAAAATCGGGACTAATAATTAAGTCTACCCACATACTGTTACTTCTCTCTAGTATTTCACAGTTTGTTCTATACGTAGATTATATGGTATAGCAAAGATAGAATATGGGTCATCTAATCTAGACAATAGTTTGAAATAGATCACAACCAACATTAAACAACAAAAAAGGAATAGAATAGAAACTATTTAGAAATCATTGGTCATAATAAGATTAAATATTGTTTTGGGAAATTTTTATTTTGGTTATGTTTGCATCTCTATATATTTTAGATATCCATTTGAATGTTTGTACTTGGTCGTGATGTAAAGTGTGGATCAGGGTAAAAAAATATTGACTTGTTACTGTCTAGTGATATTGATATGTTACTGATAAATGCCAGAAACAAAACGGACCTAGTTGAGCACTGCAAGCATATCTGTTATGTCCTAGAGCAGTGGTCCCAAGCTTTTTGGCACTAGGGACCGGTTTCATGGATGACAAGTTTTCCACGGACAAGGGTTGGGGGATGGAGGAATGGATAGTTTCGAGATGATTCAAGTGCATTACATTTATTGTGCAGTCAAACCTCTCTGCTAATGATATTCTGTATTTGCAGCTGCTCCCTGGCGCCAGCATCATCCCCTCAGCTCCACCTCAGATCATCAGACATTAGATTGTCACAAGGAGCATGCAACCTAGATCCCTCACATGCAGTTTACAGTAGGGTTCATGCTCCTATGAGAATTTAATGCTGAGAATCTAATGCTGCTGCTGATCTGACAGGAGGCGGAGCTTATGCGGTGATGCAAGCGATGGGGAGTGACTGTAAATACAGATGCAGCTTTGCTGGCTTGCTCACCTCCTGCTGTGCGGCCTGGTTCCTAACAGGCCACAGAGCCACAGACCATACCAGTTCTGTTCAGGGGGTTGGGGACCGCAGTCCTAGAGTGACCTATAAAATAGGGGATTACTGACTTAATTACACTCTTTTCTTATGAACAGTCTATGCAAGAATAACTCGTCCATAATGAATATTGGGGGGAGGAGTCCAGAGCTCTCCTCTTTTATTCAGATTGTTCAGAAGTATTAGAGAGTGATTAAGACATTGTTTTTAAAATGAGAATGCCAGGGGCCAGAAAGGTGACAAGTTCCTGGTTCTAAAAACTTATTTGTATCTTATCCACCCATATAGTTCTTTTAATTGAAACTTGGGATGCAGTTTCCCAAAGTAACAATATCATAAATTGTAACAGATGTACTTGGAGAAGTATTACATTTCAGATATATCACAAGAGTAGTTCTTAAACTTGAGCATGCATCAGAATCTCCAGGAGGCTTGTTAAAACACAAATTGCTGGGCCCCACTTCCAGAATTTCCGATTTGGTTCTGATTGCATTTCTGACATTTTCCCAGATGCTGCTGCTGTTCGTGCTGGTCAGAGGCAGTACTTTAAGGACCATTGTATTAATATGCTTTTGGGGGACTGTTAATCCTAATTGCTCTAACTTTGTTTCTACAGGAAAGAGCATGTACATTTTCCAAACTGACCTTGAACAAGCTGTGCTTTGAGATGTCATAAGTTTGCAACTATCTGGGTGCTGAACCCTCTAGAATGAATTGTCTCATGAGACGTGCTTTTTCTTTTGTCCTTGAAATTGTAAAGGGAGTAAAACCATAACTAAGTTCTTCATACAACACCCTCAGTCCCAGCCTCCATCCCTAGTTCTTCAGGAGTGTATCCCTTCAAATACTTTGATGTCTCTCTTCTTAGATGTTTACCAACATTATCACTGCTGTTCACTAAAACTCCATCTGGCCCTCTTCATTACTCTCTGATCACCTACTGCTATTCTAATCTTGCTCACTGTCATCAGCACTGTTCTATGTGTTATTTTCCAAACACATCAGCATGCTCTTACCTTAGGGCCTTTGTGCTTGTTGTTCTTTTGAAGCGGAATATGCTTCCTCCGATTAAAAGCTTAGCTCACTTCATTTTCAGGCTTTTACTCTGTTATGACATTCTCTAGGAGATTTTCCCTGAGCACTCTCTACTTAAAATTGCACTCATGTCCTCTCCCTATCCTCTTTCCTTAGCTGTTTCACCATAGCATGTACCACCGTCTAACATACTATATATTTTACTTATTTATTTTTCCATTCCCTCTTGCCTAGTAGAAAAAAAAGGGAGCAATGTTACTTTTGTTCACTGACGTTTCTCTAGTATCTCAAACAATGCCTGGAATGTGATAAGGACTCTGAATATGTATTGAGTGAATGAATAAATAAATGAGAAATATGAAAGGATAAAGAGCAGTAAGTGAAAATTTCTTTTTCTCAAAATAGTCTGTGACATTTCTTTCATTTACTATTTCACTGAAGAGGTTCTGGTTCTGGTTCTGGAACTCAGTATCACTTATATCAGTGTAACAATTATTATTACAGTTGATCATAACAGTTTTGGTTACAGAATTTATTGATGGAATTTTATGCGTGCTAAAATTTTACCAAACTTTAGTGGAACAGTAGATAAGATGTTACTTTTAAGAACTCTAGTGCCTCTCTCAGATCATTCAAGGACTTGAATGATTACCATATGTTCAGCATTCCACCAGATTCTTTGGGATACATGAAAGAAGTAAAGGCCAGTATTGAATGTAACTATAGATAGGAGTTTAGAGAAGGAAGAGGTAAATATGGACTAGAGTATTTGGGGACTTTTAGGTTTATTTTGCATTTTAATATCTACTTCATAAAGTTGATTAAATGTCTCAAAACTTCTTTTTCAGCTGTAAGGGATTTTTCTCATTCAGCTTTCTTTCATTTAAATAGGTTTTACAGCAGGCAACACATGTTGTTGAGAGTGAGGTGGACAAATGTGTAGAAGATATAATGAAGGAAAAGAACATTAACCCTGAGAAGGATTCCAGGTGTGCTGTTTTTACATTATTCTCTTTTTTATTATGCATTTATAGCCTGTGACCACACACAGTTGTAACACTTAAGAGCTAAATGGTTTGTGGAGATCATCTGATTCAACCTTCTCACTTCACTACATGAGCAGTCAAGGCCCAGAGAGGTGAGTGACAGAAGCAGGACTAGAACCTGCATCTCTGGGTTCCCAGTGCTGTAGTAAGGCCAGTGTACCATCTGCCTTCTTCAGGGTGACTTACCATTACTTTACCAAGGTTAAATAACTTTGGCTACTCTGTCTTTTTTGTCCTTCAAAATCGGGTTCCTATATCCTCCTCCTGCAAGGTCCTCTCTGGCTCTTCCGTCTGAGTCAGTGCCTTGCTTTGGCCTCTCACAGAGCTGTCACACCATTTAACCTGTTGTACTATAGTCAATGATTAACCTTTGTCCTTCCCCCAATAAATTCTAAGTTCCATAAGAGGAGAGACTTACTCCATTTTTGTGTTCCTAGCACTAGCATATTGGCATAGTATTTAGCCTCTTTTCCTTCATTCAGTATTTCCTATGTAAATATAGAGGAGCTAACAATTTATTTCAGCTGAGACAGGGAAGAGTCTAGGAGGAAACTACAAGGATAGTTCCAGAAGAGAGGTGACATTTGAGCTAGACCTTGGTGAATGGGTAAGGGAATGGTGCCAGCAAGGTACAGTGACAGAAGTATTTGTGTTTCTGGGAATGATAAGGAGTCCTTTGTGACTGCAGCATTGAATACAAGCAAAGCAGTGGTTGGAGAAGTGAATGGAGTGCTGGATCGATATATTGCAGAGTCTTGCATACCATACTGAGGGATTTAGATGTTGTCCTTTGATATTTAAGCAAACAAGCTACATTATCAGGAATGTATTTTAGGAAGATTGAGGGTGCATTTGGGGACGTGGGAGGCTGGTAGAGGGAATAAAGAACAGTTAGGAAACTCTTAAGTCATTCTGGCAAGAAATGACAGAGCCATAAATACAGTAGGGGAAATAATGATATGAGGATTGCTTTGAGGGACATTTCAGTACCCCTGTAATATTCTGAAATAAAAAAAACAGGATAAGGGCTTGGGCACTATTTTTGACTACTTTTGACTATTGTTGATGGAGAGAGGTGGGCCCAAATTCAGAGTCTTCTAGCTTAGGGACCTAATGGTTAGTGATGTCATAAATATATTTATAGACTTGCTTAAGAAAGAGCATGTTTCTTCAGGGAAGTAAACATGCTTAAGTTAACATGCTTAAGAAAGAGCATGTTGTATTTAGGAGAACTGAGATAACCTGTTATGGAACTATTTGTTTTATACACACTTGGAAAATTAGGTCTATTGGTGATATTTGGCAATAAAGATTTGAGAATATATGGGATCTCCCAGAGAAAATGTGAAAAGAAGAAGAGGACAAATCCTTAGAATTGCAACGTTTGCCATTCCTGCCATCTTGCCCTCTTTCTAGGCTCTATATCCTATGTAATATTTTGTTCTGTGGTTAAGGAGGCTCTTGATGTGTCTTGTATTAAACTGAAAGCCAGGAAATGTTTTCTAAATAGATACATGGACCATAAGCTATGGAAAGCATTACTTTATTGCAATAAGAAGATATGATTTTAAAAAATAATTTTATCATTTTCAGTTTTAGAATCTGCATGAGGACATGCTTACTGCAGATAACTGGTTATAAACAGCTCTATTTGGATGTAGAAAGTGTAAGGAAAAGGCCATATGATTCTGATAACCTGCAACATGAAGAGCTTCTCCTGAAGGTAAATTTTTGTTTCCTTTATTTGGTGGCGTTGAACTCTAGAAAAATATATCAGGCTTAAGCTGAGTAAGGTCTGTGTGAAAATTCTAGAGGCTTATATAGCCATCCAGTTTCTTTGCCCCTTAGAGAATTTATTATATTGAATTTCATTGATATGGAAATATTTTTAGTTAATGATTTTTATATAATTTTCTGATGAGCATTATTAAAATATATTCAAATAAATATTTAATGCTATTCTAAAATAAATTATACATTTATAAAGGGAGATCATCAAAAAGTATATGTCTACAAGCTTTAGATTTTCCTGCTACTTTAGACATTTTTTTCAGCTGCTCTCAAATTGTGAACATGGACATCCCTTTTCAGATTATTACGTCACATCTTTCGGGATTTATGGAATGTTAATGCCAAATAATGCCACAATAGAGTTAAACATTAAGAAAGTAAAAATTTAGAATTAGAATTTTCCTATTTCTTATTTCCGAAGTATAAATGCATCAGACCAATCAGGTGCCAAAATTAAAGAGTATTAGACCTGGGGTAAACATCACAGATCATCTAGTCTAGTCCCTTTGTTTTAAATGTTGAGGATTTCAAGGCCCAGAAGAGATGAGGTGATTTGCTTTAAATACTAGAACGATAGGGCCTGGGGTAGAGCTGAGTCTCCTGCCCATCCTCTACACCTATTCCAACTTTATTTAAAAATGGTTAAAATTAGAGAAAATAGCACACTGTGTTTGGCATTATGAATTTATTATAACTGAAAGTACTATAGAGAGAAACATCGACGATATCTAAGTAACAGTAAGAGATAAGAGTTGCAAGTTTTAAAACAATAAAACTTTTTTTTTAGGAAAAGTATAAAATATACACTTCACCTAATTGTAAAATTAAAATAAAACTTGGTATAGTTAAATGAGGATAATAAAAATACGTATCTTAAAGGGCTGTTGTGTGGATTGAATTTTTATACTTAAAATGTTTAAAATAGTGCCTGGCACTCACTGAGGATTAACTGCTATTTCAATCCTCCTCATCGTCATTTTTCTCTGAATTTCAGACCCTTGCTACACAATACCTTCCCCTTTTGAAGAGATAAGATACAAATCTTAGCATTCTAGTCGAGGGAATTTTTACCATGGTGATCCACTGTGAAATTCAGTTCTAGAGGTGGAGAAGACAGTTGCTGGCAGGGACTAACCCAGCCACCACCAAAGAGCTATGTAATCTGTGTTGCCTTAAGTATAGTCCGAAGATCACCTTCACTAGAGTTAACTAGTGTTATATATGTATTATAGATTCCAAAGCTCCACCTTATTCTTATGAAATTAGAGTCTCCAGGGGTAGAACCCAGAAATTTGGTATTATGCATATTAAATTTTGAGTATTAGTAGTTTTACACTGTGGCTCTCACCACATCACCGAGGCCTTATTGTTGACAGACTCAGACTCCTTGCTGAGTTCATGGGGAGATGCTACTGTGAACAAATCACATGTATTGGTAATAAAAGTGGGAACCAGATGAAACCTAATCTAATGATTGGATTTGCTTCAGAGCCAGAGTTGACCCTGTAAAGCAAGGTCACAGGTCTTCACATTTTATTTTAGGTAACAGGATACTCCTTTCGTTATGAGTTCTTAGTCAACAATGCCTGAAATGGTAGTGAAATGGGAAAAAATGCAAGTATTTCTGTTTTGCAAATTTTCACAATCTTTTTTGAATCAACTTCTGTAAGTCTCTTTTATTTGATGACCTGTGGTGTTCAATTTAGAAAATGACTAAATTTTCTTTATTTTGCATTGATTAGTTTGTTGCTATCTGATATTTGATAGCTGTTCTTAAATCCTCATTCTTAAAGATCTTTATTTAAAACCAGTCATATTATTTTTTTCTTTTAAAACTGAAAATTTGTAAAATAATCATACAGGTTGTAATACAATCAGTATCATTTCTGCACGATCCCCTCCCTCAGGCCTGTTTTCCTTTTTCTGATTAGGGTCTAATCCCCTACCCTAATAATAGAGCCTATTTAAGTATATAGTGCTTGAAGCAAGGGCCAAGTGCCTGAAATACTGTGTTCATCTCAAGGAAGCAGTTTACCAATTCTCATATATATGTGTTAATTAGTAAATGAGAACATCTCATTGTTTTAGATTTCTGTGTATTATTTGTTACCTTTTCCAAATCTATTCTTTATGCCAATCTCGCTCTTGCTCAGGCTGGTTTCAAACTCCTGGCTTCATGCAATTCTCCCACCTCAGCTTCCCAAAGTGCTAGGATTAGAGGTGTGAGCCACTTAGCCCAGCCTATACCCATCTTTTTAATTGGAATAAATATGCTACATTTTGTGGGAAAATTAAAAAGTTTTCTAAAATATTTTTAAAAATTAGTCTTTGTCGAACCTGTGTTTTGTCTATAAAAGTTGTTTCATTGAAAGCATTCAGTTACTAGTTATACAAGCTATGAAAAGGAAAATGTCTTGGTAAATTAAGAACATCACTATTATTTGTAATATGGAAGCTTGTTTGTACAGCTTTGGAATCTTCTGATGCCAACGAAAAAGTTGAAGGCTAGAATCTCCAAGCAGTGGGCTGACATTGGTTTCCAGGGTGATGACCCCAAAACAGACTTCAGAGGCATGGGCATACTAGGATTAATCAATCTTGTGTAAGTGCAAATAAACTTTCTTTTCTTCTCTAAATGAAGTTACATGGAATCTCCAATCTAGTTAAATTCTGATAAGAATTGATCTAGCTGTTTCATATTACCTCTGAATTTTAATAGCTTCAGTGCTAGAAGTATTCGCTAATATGCTGGCAACAATATGAAGACATTGGAAATACACCTATGTGTGTGATGTCTTTACTTACCAATGCTTTCCTCTTTTTTTTGTCTTTCTGACCTCCATTCTGATTCCTCTTAAAGAATTATGTACACTTTTTCTTACTTTTTTTATCCTCTTCTTCTCTCTGGGCTCTCTGATTCCATTTTGGGAAATATAAACAGGTAAGATGATAAAGTCTCCTCACATGTGTTCTTCACCACCTGTGACAACTGATCTAAATCCCTGACCTTTCGTATAGGCTACTATGTGGACTCTTTCTCCTTTATCTGCTTTAATACTTATGAGTAGGTACATGTATGAAATCCCAAAATGTTTAACTCAAATAATAATTGATAGCCTGGAAGATTAATTTCCTCCTATAAGGATTTGCAAATATACAGATTCTAGTCTATGAACTGTCATTTACAAACTGTAAAATGCCTGGAATGGGAAGCCTAACCATGAAAGTTTAGATAATTCTTACTGTGAAAAAATTAATCCTGAAATTAAGCTTAATTAGGTTAATATTGAGAAAAAAACATTTAGGTCAATATGAATAAGGCTATTTTGGGGAAAATAGAAGACATTATGGTAGAGTTTCAATAGCTACAATTTTTTTAGTTACAGAAGTATTTAATTTTCTGTAATACCTAAATGTATAAGCATTAAAGTTTATTATAATAATTCTACTTCCCAGAGATAAACAACATGGTAATCTTAAAAAATATTGAATTACAAAAAATAATTTCTCAGCGTTGGCCAGAGGGAATTTAATTTAGCTTAAAGTTTAAATAAATTTAATAGGATTTGATTCCAGAGTGTGGTTAGAGATTCTGATAGACCTTTATATGACTTACAGATAATTTCACTCTATTTAGAGCTAGTATCAACTGATTTGAAAAATGACCAGGATTCACATATATTAGTAACTATTTGATGGCTGTAATGGTGTTTATTGTTTCATGTATAGAGCTATGACGCTTCAGGACCAAATATATAGTCAAGGAACAGGCAAGCTGTTAGAATACTCCTATGTAATTTATTTTTTAAAATTTCTTGGCCTTTGTCATGTAATCTCTTGAGATATTTTCTTGCTTTGAAGTATAGCTGGTAGTTTGATAAGTAACAAGACTGGGTAAATGAATGCTGAGGTGGGTATAGATGAAGAAAGAATGTTTTACAGGGAATGAATTCAAGAGAGACTTAAGAAATCTGAATAGGTGAATAAATAGAAACAGCAAGGTAGAAGTATGTGCGAGTAAGGTCAAAAATGTGTGTAGGAAGGAAGGGAGGGAGGGTAGGAATAGGAAGGAAGAAGAGGGAAAAAAAGGAAGGAAGGAAGGATCTCAATGCAGATTATTGTAAAGAATAGTTTTTCTTATTGCACAGATTTTTTTTTTTTTTTTTTGCCATTAGATACTGTTAAGATAGGGGTTAACTAAGTAGATTCAGCAAGGAAATTAAAAGTTGCTCTGTATTACCGAGTCAATATTTTAAGAATAGTTTGACTATTAAAATGTAATACTGAATTATATTTGAAGTACTGTGTATAAAAATCAAATATAAATAGTTTATTAAGGGCATTTTAGAATCAATCCAGGGATAAAGTAGAAAAATTTGAGTGCTTAGGAAAACATTGCACTAAGCAGGACTTTTTTCTACTATTTTGGGGATCCTCTTTGAGAATCTGATGAAAGCTTTGTATATTCTCTCCCCAGAAAATGTATACACAGAAAAATTTACACATAATTTAAGGTGGTTCATGGATCCCCTTGCATTCATAAATGATCCTTATTCAGGGATTTGTAAGTTAAGAGCCCCTTGTGTAATGAATGGATTGAAAATTAGAGCCAATGAAGAAAAAATGAAAGTGTATGGTATTATTCTATAGAAGAAAAAATAGAAGGGGAAGAGTTAGCTTTAAGAAAATTCCAATGATTGTGCCCTCTAAATAAACCATAGAAATTTGTTTTTTATTTATCCTTACATCAACAGCCAGCGAGTCATCGCGTGTGTGTGTGTGTGTGTGTGTGTGTGTGTGTGTGTGTGTGTGTTACTATACCAGTGCATTTTGAGGTGATCCAAAGGTCGAACAGATTTGATCCCTTAACAACTCAAGGAGTTTGTGTTAGTATAGGCCAAAAGGATGTATGTGCCTACAAATCGACAGCTTTGTATTACATTTCTCCTGTACCTGCTTATACTTCTGTTTTATGGCCAATATTTTAGTTATACCACTGACCAGGGAGGGTTTTTTTTGGTGCAAAAGAAAGGTAATGGCTTTGATTGCACCGAAAATAGCATTAAACAATACAGACATAAGTTGCAGTAGAAGGAATAAGCCTAGGTGAAAGGAAGAGCGTCCTAATAGGCACATATTGACTATTTTATAGAAATAAAACAAGTAAGCAAAAAGAACTCTATGGAGTGTTTTTTTAAATTAATAATTAGGTAGGCAATCTCTTTTTAGATGATCTATTTGTTAAAATACTGTGCAGTCTTGCCAGAGGCCTGTGTCATGTACTAGATAGGCCTGACAACTTGGGATTGAATTTTGATTCAGAAGCATTTGTGAATCACTGAAGTGATTTGAGATCGAAATGGAGATGATTGTGGCAGTACCAGGACTATTATTTTAAAAGTGACTTTTTGAATTGGTTCTGGATATCTTAAATTTGAGTAATGTATGTTCATTTCACTATTTTTCTTAAACTTTTTTAGGTATTTCAGTGAAAATTACACCAGTGAAGCTCATCAGATTCTTTCCCGTTCAAATCATCCAAAACTAGGGTAAGCCGGATATATTAAATGAACTGTAATTTCTCGAATTTAAAGCGATTACATAAATTTGAAGGTATTTCTTAAGACGAGGTTATTTAATAAGGACTTTATAAAGGATATTATATTACATGATATGTTATTTTAAAGGAAAAATGTTATCATAAACCAGTTTTGTATGTATTTCAATATATTAATCACAAGATACAGTTTATAAAATGGAGGTAAGGACATTTATAATATTTTTTTGAGAAATAGATCTGAAAATAGGAATAGGAAATAGCTTTGACATAGGAATCAGAAAATGGGAAGTAGCTTTGAAAATTGTAAAGTGAAATGCAAATTGAGGTCATATTATTAGCTTTATCATTATTTTATTTTTATATTCTGATGATATCTAATCTTTGAAAAAACATAGTAACAATGTTACATCATAAAAATAAATACCCTGATCATAGAGAAGAAAATAACAGATTTTTCAGTGTGTATTTTAGAAATCAGTGAGATGTGGTATATGTAGTTCTGTCCCTCCTTTATTTTTTTAAAAATTCTAGTTTTAGATATCATACGAACAGAGCTTTATTTTTATTTCTTAGATTATATCTGGAAAATCAATGGCCTGTAAAAAAGAACTTCTGGATCCATTCTGGTTTATTTTTCTTACTATGTAGAGATTTTTATAAAATTAATACTATGTTAGAAATGAAACAAAGTCACTTTTTACTAATTCCTTACATAATTTTAAATTTATTTTATGAGCAATTTGGCTAGCTGGTATAACTGGTGATGTTTCTGACATAGGTATTCTTATGCAATAGTTGGAATCAATCTTACAGAGATGGCTTACAGCTTACTGAAGAGTGAAGCTTTGAAGTTTCATCTCTACAACTTTGTTCCTGGTATACCAACAATGGAACACTTTCATCAGTTTTATTGTGAGTATTAAAGCGAGTTAAAGCTAAATCTAAGAGAACTCTTAGATCATTTGGAAGGTATAATACATATTTTAATCTGTTTAATAATACCTCTGTGAAGTATATAACTTACGTTTATCATTTTATTATTTAAGATCTTTGAAAAACAGGAAAATAATGGGAGATGGGTCCCCAAGAGTATTTTTTACTTCAGTTTTTATATTTGCTGATAAATTTAATGAGACAGTTTTTCACATCCAGACAAATTTAGGATTTAGTTTTTCTGTGGGCATTCATTTCCCGGTGTACTACAAAATGAATATTCCCTGGTTAATGACTGCTGTCGAGTCAAGCAATTTACTGTATTTAAGTAAATACAGGAGGGTGGTAGGTAGGAAAGGTATACAAAATGACCTCTGTCCTGTATTTTCCCAAAGACTGTAACTTGAGGATTTTTGGGTACTGTGCCCATCCTGTAGGGGTGAGGAAAAGCTTGCCCTTTCCCTGGAAAACTCACTGAAAGATCAACTCACAATTAAGGCAGATTAATAAGAAAAAGGTTTATTTACCAATACCATGAACCTGGGGAGAATCACATAGTGATTACCCCATATCCTAGTGAAGTTCAGATATTTTTATACAAGTACAAGTAATTCTGTTTAAGGGTGACAAATGGTGCTAGGGAGGACAAACGGATGGAGGAGACAGGTTGACTGGTAAATGATTCTCTTTGCAAATTAACCCGAGAGACACATATTGTGTTTAAAATAATATGGGCCAGGTCTGCTTGCATTCTTGATCTTCTTTCCTGTACTATATTGGAATAACAGAGAGAGGAAAGGGTCAATTGCCTGTTTTGATCTTTTGATCAGGCCAGTCCAGCATATGCAGATAAAGGGAAAACCCCTTCCGATGCTTTTTGATCTCCAATGGCCTTTAATTCAAACTATTCTTTATACCAAAGAGTCATCTTTTGGGGTGAATTTTCCTGAGCTCCTTCACTCCCTTCTTAAAAAGCCTTTTAGGAGGGGTCGTGAGATTCTGATGAAAACAGAAGTCCAATATATAACACAGTAGAGACTACTTATAAACTGTGTGATTTTGGCACATCATTTAACCTCTCTGCACCTGTTTCCTCCTCAGTAAAATGGAAATAATGACATAGTTCTTGCATCATAGGGCTGCTGTGAGAGTACAGTCGAGTATTTTAAAAAACAATTAAATAAATACATTTGATTGCAAAATAGGATTTAGGGTCTTTTTTCTAATTTACATTTTTTTTTTGTTTTTTAACAGTTTTATTATGGTGTAACTGATATACAATAAACTGCACGTATTTAAAAGTGTACAACTTGATAAATTTTAACATATATATCTACAACCACGAAACCATCTCTGTGATCTAAAGATGAATATATCCACCACCCCCAAGAGTTTCCCTTTGCTCCTCTGTAGTCCATGCGTCTTACTCTTCCCCCACCATTCCTAGATAGCCACAGATCTTTTTGTCACTGTAGATGAGTTTGCATTTATTTCTAGAATTGCGTTTAAGAGGAATCATACAGTATATACTCTGGTTTCTGTCTGCATAATTTGTTGTATGTATTAATGCTTATAAATT